TTCAGAGTCAACTAAAGTGGCGTGTAAATTATCAGTTTATTGCAGAAATCAAATCCAAAAAGCGCACACAGATGACTGATTTAGCATTCATTTAGTCACGTATATAAACAAGTTAATGTGCGTTCTTCCAACCTTGTGGTAGTTAGAAGCAAAACCACAAACAGGAACAGAACGGCTTGTTCAACACAACAGACAAAACTGCAGAACTGCAAAGCCGTGCCTAAGCTCCTACCGGTTTCAGTTTTCAATTCAGCTTCCATTGGCTGGTCTGTTACCATGCCTCCACCATGAGTATTCTGTTATAAACGCCATGTGAAGTGTGCTTAGTTTATCTACAAAATGAGCACCTTGAGAAGATAGCCGTGGAGACTTAATTTTATGATTGTTTGGCAACCGGGAAAGCGACTCAAATTTCCTTGGTGCATCCGGAGTCTCGCAGTTGCAACTTTACTTGAAAGGCTTTTAACTGCATCATAACATGGGGGATCACGGTTTCCATAGAAACAGCTGGGCATTGGGTATGTTTGGAAATACGGCCCTCATATTGTATTAACCCAGTTTCATGCCTTGGGTCAACCCAGGGCAGGCAATCTGGTGATTTGGGGTTGATTCGATGGCCCAAAGGAAGATGAGTTTATCTAGGAGCTGATCCTAGGTAGCCCCTTCCTCTTTTTTCCAGCTTCTTCCTGGCCTTGGTGTAGAAGCCTCTATGGGGGACCATTCCTGTTGTGTTCTACAGAAGTTCTATTTGTTGGTCCTCATTTTGAGTGGGAGTTTTGTTTGTTCCAGTTGGCTGAGCACAGCCTGACAGTGAACTAAAAGGGAGCTGTCAGGTGGCATCAGCTGTTACCTGTCAGCTGGCCAGTTTGGCAGCATATCGGCAGACTCGGGTAACCTGTTCCTTTGTTTACAATAAACGTTTCGTTCATCAATGCCTGCCTCAGCTCATTCTCAGAATTTAATAATTTCCTTTCCTTCCTTGGCAAGGGCTTGGGCCTCCAGCCAGCTCCAATGGATCTGGGTGTACCAGAGTGGCCAGTTGATGAGACTCGCTGTGTCTTGAGTAGGAAGCAGCTGAGATGTTTTCCCTCGCCCAGCACCAAACGCCAAAGCCTTGTCAACTAGAAACGCCTCAGTTGTCTGTCTCGAGTCACACAGACACCCCCCCCCCCGGACTTTAGTGTGAGATATCTGGAGGTCTGGAGCCCTGGGCAGTGGAGGGCAAGCTCCTAGCTAGGCTCTCAAGCTGTTGGGGACCCCCAGCCCTGCTTCCTCAAGGGGGGTGTCTGCATCCTTTTCTCCTGTGCATGTGCCCAGAGAGAGAGGGCCCAGCCTTTCCAGGATGGTCCCAAGTGCCAAGTCTGCCTTCACAGGCCTTTTGACATGTCTGGCCGATGTGAACATGTGCTTAACAATTGGCAAATTGCTTGTTTGCATTCTGCAACAGAACACTCTACTTTCAGAGTTTCGTTGGTTCTTTTATGTATATCCAGGTCAGGTGTGCTTCAAAATCTCAGCCAACACAACCAAAAGTAAAACAAGATGAGATGTTGTCTTGTGATTTTGGGCTTGTGTTTCTGGTTTTATACAATTCAGCAACGTCTGTTGATTGATCTGGCTTATCTATTCCTAGGTACCGTGTTACAGGAGAAACCGTAAAGAATAGATAATGCAACTCACTTGATTCCTATTTTAGGTCCCAAGACTTGAGATGGTGGGGAAAAGCAGATTCCACTAGTAACACCACCAAGCACATGATATTGTGCAGACATGCTGTTCAAAGCATTTGCCCTTTAACCAAGAATTGGTCACTTAGGAATTAAAAATCAGTTTGGGGTAACATTGGCTTATTCTTACTGCTTCCTTGTTGAGAGAACTATGCCGGACAATGGTCATGGAGATATCTATCTGGCACTCTTGACTGCTATTGGAAGATAAATTGTATTAGTGCAGTGCAATTGTTCAAAAGTTCTGCTAACGCCCCCAATAGCAGACCAGATGAGTGGTAATAAATGTATCTGTACATTGACTATTTACACTGTTGTGGCTTTGGACAAGCTTGCTCCCTTGACTGTCGCCTCGCTTCCACTGGCGATCACCGCAGGCTTTCACCGGTTGTCAGTTGCCACTTCTCTGTTGCTGGTGAGGAAGGCAAAATGGTGGAAAATATGGATGGAACAGGTGATTCTGTAGCCTGTTTCTGCAACTTGGTTTGAGTCAGACCTGCCACCACCATTTAAACCTCTGAATAGAAACGATACTTGGCTCCATTTGCTGAGTAGGTATAATTTCGTTAGAAGTCGCAAGTGTAATTGTAATGCAAATCCAGAACACTGAAAGATTCCCAACGAGGCCTCTGCAATAACTGTCTCCCTTTGCTTTTAACCCCCCCCCCCACACTAATTTGGGTTCAAGCAAGATGTTAGGATTGAACCTTTAATGCTTTTCAACTTGCCAATGAACTCTTTCTGACCAAGCTTGGCTTCCTGAGATACCAACAAACATACATTAAATCCAAAGCCCTTTTATTTTAGTTCAATGGCTGTGAATTATCATCATTCACAGCCCGTAATGGGTCTCAACCAGTTATAACTACTCCCATGGAAGTCTGCCAAGGTCCTTTGGAAAGAAGTCTGATGAGAACGCACCTTTATCTTTCTTGAAGTGCTACCAACGACTAAAGTGCCTATTAGTCTTTCAAAACGAAACTGGTGTTTCCGTTGACTGATGAGAGACTGCGATCATATGCTGCTTTGATCCGTGTTTACCTTGTTGGTGGGACCCGGAGTCATCTGACCCACCTTGGAGGGAGGGGTGGGGGAAGAGGGGGAGACCTCCAGCTGGGTCGAGGGAAGCTGCATCTCCCCTCCCTACCTAGGCGTTACTTCTCTGGAAGACAGGGAGAAACGGCTTGAAGGGCTTTTAATTGTCCAGGTCACCTTACTACATCGTTTAGGATTTCCAACTCCAAGAAGGACTACCAGGGCAAAGTACCCAAGAATTTACACCTCCATTCAGTATTTCTAGATCGAACCTCTGGAAATGTGTGGAAACAGAATAGTTTCCAAAGGAGAAATTGGACTATGGCATCAAGGACGCCAACCAATTCAATTCCTGCTTCCTTTCATTTTGTGGAACCCCGGCTTGTCCTTACATTTCTGACACTTCCATATGTCCAGAATAAACCAGCCCTTCGCCTCTCTTCCAGTTCTAAATTCCTACAGAGACAAACACTTAATTCTGGAGCCTCCGTTTTTTTCATACTTCAAATGTTTTAATAAGCAATTTCATTTAAACAAAAAAGGCAACCTTTTTCATTTTAAAACTTAATTCTGTAAGACAAAAAAGAAAAACCAAACTGAACAAGCGACAAGCTGTTAAATTTCCTCGTGGCAGTTCAAAATCTTTTAAAAACCGAACACTTGGGAAGAAAAAGTCCTACAATACTCAGATAAAAATATGTCATTTGCTGTGTTTAGGTTTGGTTGAGAAGTTCCACGTCCAGCAGAAGCGATGGAGAGGGTGGGTGGACTCTGATTTAAAAAACACACACAAAATTCCTCTTACACAATAAAGCCAGCTATGTAAACCTGGGCCGCTTAAAAGATGGTGGGTGGACTCCAACTCCCAGAACTCCCCAGCCAGCAAAGTCCACCCATCTAAAGTGTCCAAAATTGAACACATTGCAGAGAGAATGACCCGAAGGACTGAATTCCTAGTTTCTCTTAAAATCAAGGAGAGAACACCTATAGGTGCCCTCTTGCACAAGTAGGAGATACACGATCATCAAATCGGCAATAATACCAGAATCCAGCTGTTCATCCTCCCATTTCACTTGAGATCAAAATCAGCTGATAGCTCAATTTAATATTGCTTTCCAAAGACACAGCTTTAGTCTCCAATATGTCCTTGCAGAAGTCAATCTGTAGGTCCTCTGGAAGATATCTATCCCCACGGAGCTTCCATATATACTCCCTTGGAGACCACTTCCTCAGTGCCCCCAATCCTCTATAAATAGTATTATTCGGAATAGTGGTTTGCGCGACCCTCTAAGGAAGATAGTAACAGTAAAATTCAAAACTAACAATTGCACATTTATTCAAAATCCAGTTTAAAACTTTTTAGTTAATGTTAATTCAACAAAATTCTTGAACATAATCCAGTGGTACCAGGTTTTCAAAGTGAGAGTCATTTATCAAGAACCTAGTAACTTGGTAAACTCAGTAAAATTCACCGTTCAGTAAATTCTTAATGTGATAGATGGGCTTGATGAACTGGTAACCAGTTTCTCAATGTCTGGTTTTAAGTCACTTAGCAGAAGTCTTAAATCATCACCACATTTGGTAATCTGTACTGAATCTCAGGCCTCCTAGTGGTATTCGGTTGACTACAGTCATTGCTCATAGTGTCCTGTGTCCTTAGGCAACCATTTTGATTTTGGTTTCTTTTAGTTTCCCCCTCAGAGGACAATAGATGCTCCTTCATTCTTGTTTAACCACTGCAGGGAACAAAACAATTGTTTGCTGGCAATTGCTGAGGCAAAATTCAGGACAAACCTTGATTGATGGGAGGGGGGAGGCCTTTACTCTGGCCATTGTCATTTACAAGTTAACTTTTTCAGATCACTCCTAGAGATTCGTAAGTCTGAGGTATTAGAATCTTAGTAGGATATTCTGGCAGTCCTTCCTTTGCTTGCCTCTTGTTTGCTGCTCCTACACTTTAATTGAAGACTTTCTTCTTGGTGTTGCTTTTAACATCTGTGTTGGTGGTTTGCAGAACTGGATTCGTGAGGAATGCTAGCTAGTCAAATGACCAAATAGCCCAAAAAACCAAAAAGATCCCTGTCCATGTCAAAATGGTTTCTTCTAAGGTAGAATCTGTACTTTCTGCCTTTCTCCATGTTGGTTTAGTGTGACCTAGACCTACACGCCCGTGGCTCAGAGCTATCCTTGCCAATGTTGCAGAGCCTGATGGGAGAGAGTTCAAGAGGCGCAGGGCAGCTCTGTGCAGGTGGTGGTGTCAGGTCTGTCCTGACTTAAGACACTTGGGAAAGAAAAACCCTCGACTCCCATTTCTTTAAAGTGAAAGATTCTTTTACTAAAGTCAAGTGTCTACAGAGAAAACGCTGGGATCTGAGTATTCTGGAGAAAATGTTAGTGTTTTTTCCCCTCGACCAGTCTCATAAGTGTTCAAATAGTATTTGTGTTCCTTGTTTCGGGAATGGCTTTGATGTTTGATACCTCTTGATGTAGTTTCCCATTCCGTTCTCAGGCTATGTATCTTTGGTTGGTTTATTTTGGATTAACGCCTCTTGTTCTCAATGGTCCATATTCCGGACCTGGAAGCACAGGAGCACAAAGAATCTGCACAACTGCTCTGGAACTCGGAGATAGAATCCCAGTTTATTCAGGCTGGAGCCTCGGCACAAATAGAGTTCAGTTACAGTTGTAAGTACATTGCAAAGTTAGCTCTGGGAGCCACTGCCTCGCTAGCTTCTTTGTATGCAGGATGGTTTCCTGGACATGCTTGTAGCCATTCGGCCACCATCCGGTAGCTGACTGGACCTCTTAAGCCAGGAGACTTTGCAGCAACCAGTCTGCCAGGGCTCCGCTCTCCTTCCCCCAGCAGTCTTCCAAGACTCTTGCTCTATGGACCGCTGTCGCTTTTTGAGCCACCGCCAGTCAGCTGGTTGGTAGCATCCTGGCGCCCTGCTGATTAGCTGGGCTGGGCAACCGGAAGTACTGCCATCGTGCTCCCAACTTTGCCTGGTAGGCTCTGGAGACCAACGCTGAACAGCTGGTTGGCAGCCAGGTCTTGGGCCCCTGGCATGCCACCAATCAGCTGTTCCAGGCTGCTGTTGTCGTCATTCACTGTTGGTTGTCTTGCTATTGTAGTTTTCCAATCCCGCTCCTCCCCTGTGAGGAGGCCCAATAGAGGCTGGTGTAGTCCAAGCTGCTGTTGGGAGATGCACTCCTCGTAGACTGAGCAGTTTCTACTTCCTGCATCAGATTTTTGGATTTGGTATCCCCTTGATGGTTGATATGAGCCTTTGCAGCCACATTGTCCGTCAGTATTAGGGCACGAGTCCCTGCTGCTCTGCCCCAAAACTGCCTGAGGGCTAAGTGAATGGCCCTGAGCCTCCAGCCAATTGATTTGTCGAGTGCTGTCAAACTGAGACCACCAACCCTGCACCATCGCTGACTGTAGATGCGCTCCCCAACCATAAAGGCTGGCATCGGTGGTAATAACCAATGCAGCTGGGTATGGCAACCCCCAGCGGGGTTTGACAGTCAGTTAGTCTCTCAACCTCAACCCAATGCCGCCTCCTTCCCTTGCATTTTATGGCAGGATGCCAGCAAAGCAAAGAAGTTGAAGATGGCAGGCTTGACACTTCTTCTCCACCCTCCCCTGGAAAAGACAGGCCTTTAGAAAAGGAGAGAGAAAAACAAATATAAATACCACTTAAAAGTTCTACGAGGCTTTATCTGGTTCCTTTATATGGAGTTTGCGGGCTCAAACCTATTAAGACATCTCTGAAGGAGGGAAGTTTTCCCATGTCACTAGATACTGTACAAAATATCTTAGAAGGCCCTGGATAATGGTCACTAAGAAAGCCGATCCGTTGCTTGGAGAGCCACTCAGAAAATGGCAAACTTCTTCATTTATGGAGATGATGCTCTCCAATTATTTGTGTTGGTTCTCTGCACCACTCTTCCAAGTTTTCTATTCTCGTATATCTTATTTTAGCTATTTTATGTCCTGGCTGGTGTTGGCTTTTGATGGTGCCTAGTCACCAGGGGTGGGCTTCAAAAATTTTAGCAACAGGTTCTCTGCCCGGTTGCTGGGTGGGTACGGCCTAATCAGTCTCCTGCACCACAGGGGCGGGTATTTTTCCTCCGCCTGGGCTCCGGAGGTTTTCCTCGAGCCTCCAAGGAGGGCAGAAGTTTATTTTATTTATTTGATTTGTCAATCGCTTAAGAATAAGCAGTATGAATACAGGAAACAGGTATGAATAAATGGGGACAATAGGACAAATAGGAGGTACGACGGTGCACTTATGCATGCCCCTTACAGACCTCTTAGGAACGGGGTGAGGTCAATAGTGAATAGTTGGAGGTTAAAGGAATGGGGGTTTGAGGATGTAACTACAGAGTCAGGGAGTGCATTCCAGGCATTGACCGCTCAGTTGCTGAAGTGTCATACTTTCTGCAATCAAGTTTGAAGCGGTTTAGCTTGAGTTTGTATCTGTTGTGCGCTTTTGGTATTGTGGTTGAAACAGAAGTAGTCTGACTGGTAGGACATTGTAGCCGGGTACATTTGTGTACCATGCTTAAGTCCAACCATAGGTGGCATAGTTCTTGGTTGTCCAAGCCTAGAAGATAATGTTCCAGCCTTCCCGAACTTTCAGGAGGCCCATTTCTTTCCTTCCAAGAGTCTGCACGCACCCCTGCAGTTGATCTGGGGTTTAGGGGTTCTTCGATCTGTGCAGAATCGTAGCTAGAGGATCTCCCAAACTCCCAGCAACCCACCCCTGCTAGTGGATAGTCACCCTGTTAATTTTTTTGTGACTTTCCTAAGCGTTTCAGGAATATATAGAGGCCACATTGGGCCAAATACAATCAGGGACCTTCAGAAGTTGCATATTGTGGTTTGGATTTCTCTGTGGATGGGGCCAGTAGGATTTCATGTTTTCACAAACGCGAGTACTGGAGGTACAGATATGTTGGAAACATTCCTTCAGGTGTTACAAACCCAATGGGGGTTTGGGGCTCGTTGAAAGTCTGGAAGATGGTGCTCTACAGACCTTTCTACACAATACGGTTACATTCAATAAAACGAATCTTCTTCCACCTGGATTAATTTGAATCTCCACAGGGATCAACAACGTTGCACTGATACGTTAGACATTCCTGTGATATTTGATAACTATGTGCAGCTAATCTTAACAGTGCGGGCAATTTTTGGAACCTCTGAAGAATGAGTGATGACTTGGGGCGTGGCACAAAAATAACAAAGTAGATAAATTCCCTTTAATACCTCCAACTTGGCCCCCAATGTCCAGTTATTGGCGAAGAAATGGAGTCCGAACCCAAAGTAAAGATAAATTAGAAATAAAAAAACCAACACAAACCACGAAGTAATTAACACGACAGGCCAGGATAATAGATAACGAAGCACCATACAGTTCGGAGGACGCCAAAACCCACATAAGCCTTGACAAAGATAACGCACACTTTGCTTCCAGCAAGGGTACTGTGTGCAAATGCCCTTCTCCTATCCTGTTCTCCCAGCTGCAACTAATGAAAGGGATCAGTGCCTTTTTCTCTCCTGTAAGCCACATTGCTGTCTTCTCTGTTCTTTCCTGTGTGCCCTAGGATGAAGAGGGGGTGGCCCGGGGTCTTCCTCCCACTTCCTGTCAGCTGCTCAATCTCCGCCTCAGAATCAGACTCCGGGCGTGACAGAATGGTCACACTGGTATTCTGTTAACAGGGAAATCCTTGAAAGTTCTTATTGGCCATGGATCTTCCAGACTGTCCTCAGTACAACATCAGAGCTTTAAATCCTTACTGGAACTGGTGTATAATCTCCAAAATCCTCTCCCTTCCCAGCAAATGTCATTGTTCGAGGCACAAATGGTGGGTTATAATCATTGGGACCCAAGGCCAAAGCTCTTCAGAAGTGGTAACGCCACTTCTAAGATATATAACATGATTGGACTGGGAAGGATGGACAAGTGGCCAGCAATGGGAATGTGTAAAAATATGAAATTGGTGTGATCTCTTAACACTGAGATCTCACTGTAACCCTATATCTCAGTAAATAATTGTATCTTTAGTCTCCTCAGTCTTCAAGGTCAACTTAGATATTCAATATTCAATTTCCCTCTTTCACCTCTTTTCAGCCCCCACCCCCACCCCCCCAAAAATAGATGGCATTGTTGATTGCTTTCCCTTTAACTTTAAATGATTAAAATTACCTAAGTCTTAAAAGTTAGAGGAAAAAAAGTTTTAAAGTCAGGGAAGAATACCAATTCAAAAATAGTATAATCCAGTTTCTTTCCTTAGTCACCTTCTTTCAGTAAATTCTGTTAATTCAGTCCAGTTTTAAAAGGAACTGTAAAAAGAGTTTGGTCTTTTATTTTGTAATTAATGGTTTCTACTTAAGCTGGAAGCCACTTTCCTTACTGCTTTCTTCCGTTGGGGGGAATTAGTTACTACCCAGCCTTTTAAAATGTGGCTTTTTTTTCACCCCATTCTTTTCCAGGGGGCTCTTTTCCTTGTTTTTAGTAAAATAAAAGTTCTCACCTAATTTGACCACGCTTTCTCTTTCCTTTCTGCTACAGTCTGTCCCAGCCTTGCAGCGGTTTGTAGTGACTGCTTTCCCTTCGAATCCGCTAGAGGCTATCTGGGTCAACCAGGGATATTGACGTATTCCAGGGATCAGCAGAGCTCTTGTCGTTCTTCCGAAACAAGTCCACAGGACACTGTCTTTTGGGATTTCGGTGTCCTCCCTGGGGACATCCAGGAATCCCGCCGTATTACCGTGACGTCAGCTTTGCGCTCTCCTGACATTGGTGTGGTCTTGTGGATTGAGTTCCACCAGCCTTTGCAAACACTTCAAGAAAATAGTTTTTGTGTATTGCAATAATTTTACTCTTCACGTACCTAAACGCAGCAGTTGAGAATACTTTATGTTTCAGATTAGAACTACCGTAGGAAGTATGAGTATTAATATGCACTGAACCCCAGGCATGTAACCAGGTCTTGAAAGGGCCAGTCTGATGGGGTCATTCTAATCTCCAGAGAGAAAATGTTCCGGAGAATAGGCGCTGTGGTAGAAAACCACCCCTAGTCCCTTCCGGTTTGACGTTGTTTGCCTGATAAAGACCCAAACCCCATTTACTGAATAGAATTGGACTGGTAGAAAAACCACTGAGACATGGCAATCTCAGCTAACCCAATTCTGATTTATGAATAACCAAGATGGCTGTGTGTCTCAATAACACCTATTTAATTGCCAGAGATGAGTAGTTGATCGCTTTGGAAAGGTGACATTTTCCCCTACAAACCTCATTCAGTTATACCTGTTCATTGCGATATCCAGAACTTAAAATTACATTTAATGTTCTTGTTGAGCTTTTGTCAGCTTCTGCTGATGTCGACAGAGTTTTAAGCTACCATTACAGAGATCTCTGCCTTTACATATCAATCAATTTAGCCCTTGCATACATGATAGGCCCTCTCAACTGCTTCCCCTGCTGCTTTTACTTCCGTCATGTTGGTCAAAGGAGGCTTATCTTTTGTTGTTTTCTCCTGTACCCAACCCAGCCTGGAATGCTCTTCTCTAGGAGGTGATGTTAACATGCTAGCTATCGTAATTTGTTGTTTTGATCTCTGTTTTGTAGTTGGCCCAGTTCGTTCTTTATTCCTGTCTGCTATAACTGGAGGCAGCTGTACCGAGTTCCTCTGTATTTGGATAGGCTGGCTGTGCTTTCATAGGGGGAGTCCAGATGCCCAGGAATATGGGGTCTGTGCCATTGATCCCTGCTCTTCCTGCAGGGTCTTGATTGGTGGTAGTTCGATAGGTTTATTGATAGAATTGATGTTGGAAAACCAAGCTTTTAAAACACATCCTTCTTTGGATATATACCGGGCAACAACCTCAGCTTTTTTGAAACCTGAATGTGTGATAATGCTCCTGTATAGACATGCCCAGTTCTGAGAGATCAGTTGCTTATGTTGGGTAGCCAGTTTGTGTTTTTGTTCAGTGGTCTGCAGTTGCTTGGTGGTTTCCCCTATGTAATTTTACAATCACCAACCGTTGATGTGATAAGCCACCACAGATGTCTCATCACTGAATAGCGTTTCCTTTGGGGTGCATCATTCTCATTCTCAGAGTTTGGTCCGGTTTGTACACCACCTTGACTCCCCAGGAGCAGTTTCAGATACTCCCTGTACATATGGGACCACCCTCCATGTAGCTGTTTCACTGGCACTTTGAGTGGGTTGCCGGGTCCTAGGCATATCACACCTTCGGATGAAGTCCATAAAGATATGCCCACTCCTTTGGCTTTGGCCATCAGTTGTACTACAATGAGTGCTACCCAGTCTGTGCGTGTGGTTTTTCGGTATACACAAAAACTTCCATGACACTTTTTTTTTTCATATTTTTAAATCGATCCCAAAAGAAACAGCTGTGGCTTCAATTGTATATTAATCTTTAAAATCTTCTGAATTATAGGTTCTGTGATTTAATCCATCTCAACCGAGGGAGTTGTTTGATTTCCTAGTCTGGTCTAGCCAGCAAGGGCTAACCAGTTTACAAATAATAGGTGGTAGGCTGTCTCAGACCGTAACTGCAAAGCAGGACTGACTCCTATATGCCCCCGAAAAGTTTTTACAGGAAGGTCTGGTAGTATTAGAAATCCTGTTTAACCCTACAGAATGAAGCGTATACGGTCCACATGGGTCTTTCTGCTTAACTGTGAAACCAGAAACTACTCGAAACATACAGTACAGATGTGAGTCAGCTCTGCTTCGTATGAATCCTTGGTCTAGCAAGACTGTTTATTTTTTTAAACCCCATGCTCAAGTGGATTGTTCTGAGTCTTTAAACAGATTTCTGCAACTTCCACACAAGATGCTCTTCCCCATTTTTCATGTATCCTTTGAAACTCTGGGAAATAAAACAGTAAAAAAACTCACCTATTCCTTTTGATTTAATTACTTTGCCCATTAGCTGTGGTGATTTTTTTTTATTCTGGTCTAGATTAATAAAGACATTTCCATTATTAAGTCATGGGACTTGTAGCTCCTGAATTGACACCATGCTTGCATGTCATCTGCATGCCATCAGTGATCTTTTGCATACCAGCGCTCTTGAATGTCATCTGAACACAAGAGTTATCTGGATTATCATTTCACTGAAAGCGGCGTACCATGTTGAAGGGTTGGCAAAATAGCATCTACGGAAGCCACCTTTTGCAGTCTGACCTGCTGCAGTTGGAACAGAGGAAGTGGGCCTCCGATCCAGGAATGTTTTACTCTGATGTTGAACCAGCAAGGGTAGTACACACCCAACGCTGTATTCCACTTACCTCTCAAACCTACGTTCCGAAACCCATGTTCGACTAAGGCTATTTGCAATTGTCAACCAGCATGAATAACTTCCAGGGCCAATTTCCAGGTCTGTGGGAAGTGCTGGCTTTCTTTCCTGTGGGGATCCTATATCCGTATGCTCGATCAGCAGAGAGATCCTTTACAACACTAAGTGGAATGAGAAAACTCGTCAATTGAAACACTAGTGAATGAAAGATAAATGTCAAATTCTGTTGTCAGTGCCTGGCATGTTGCCAATTTTGTTTGCCTGTTTGTTGTTAGACAAGGTCTTCCCATCCAATGTTGTTGTTGTAAGGGATATAATGCATTTTGTGTGGAGTGCACAAACCAACCAGATGAACCTCCAGTTAAGCTTGACATCTGTCCAGTGCGTGGCACCACCTTCACAGCCAGTATTTATTACCATTTGTAGATTCTCCTTTGCCTTCAAGCCTTCTGTTAATACCTTTTTCCAGATATTCTGCAGTCACTTGAGCAGGTTTTCCTGTTTTTGAGCCTCCACAATGAAGTGATATCTTCACCCGGCTCATTGCGCAATAACAATGTTCTTTTTTAATGGCACTGGTGAATTGGCTGGTTTGCTTTCAGCATAGTTTTAGTTGCATCTATATAGCCTTTGAAAATGCATTCTATTTTGTTCTTACAGAGCCCATCAAATTCTTGATCTAGGGATTTCATTTTTTTCCCTGAGCTCTCTTGACTATTGTGGTCAATTACAAGTCTTCGATGATCAAACCAGGATCTACAAAGGTGGCTGTGCTAATGGCAGTAGTGGCACATAGACCCAACATCATATCTTACGCTTTTTCTATGTATTCTTTTGAAGTGAGAGTGCACATGTTTGGTGTAAGTCCACTTCATAACTTACATCACATTCATCATCGGTAGTCAGTCTTTCATTTCCATAAGAGATAATTATTCATTTGTCAATATTGAAATGATGCCAAAATGTGGGGCCCTGTCAGTTCACGCTACCTTGAGCTGCTGACCGAAAACTCAACATAAGAGAAACCGTACAGGAGAGAAACCATATAAATGCCTCTGTCTTCATGGAATCTCCTCCCGAGATAGTATTAGTTCTTCACCCATGGAGACTTCTGTTTCACTAGATAATCCATAATAGTTTAAGAAGTATCTGCCAGTGTGGAACCATGTGGTGTGCGCAGTTTTTACACTGAATTTGGGGCCTCCTTTAAAGTTGCCCACAAAATGGGGGAAACGGCAGGGCAGCTGGATAGCCTGCAAAATGCATTTGACAAAATTGTTCTGCGCTCTTGAGGATGCTTTTCCAGAAGTTTTTCAGTCTTGCATGACTTCAGTTCTATGCCCTGACTGGTATTTGTTTTGATGGCTACTGTATTATTTGGACATCTTTTATTTTTACCACTGACTCAGCATAACTACTTTTTCCAGTGTGTTTGATGGCATGACATATTGGCTTTAATGGTACCTAGTTACCATATTCTTGGGAGACCTCATTTCCTTTGACCATTCTGAGCAAGAAATGACTTACTCACTGAGTTTAATCTTATGAGATGACCAAAATAAACTGAATTTAAGTGATTTTTGCCTCCCAGGGATGTCTGGTCTGTTATATAGCGTGCTCTAGTACAGTGATGGCGGACATTTTTGTTGTGGTGTGCCGATAGTGTGAGTGCCAGCACCCACAATTCAATGCGTGCTGCCCCACCTGCGATGCAACACCCCCACCCTCCTCCCTTACCGCACTGCGCATGTAACACTCCTGCCCTGCTCCCTTATCGCACTGCACATGCGTGTGCCTCTCAGCTGATTTTCGGCCCGTTTGAGGCCGCTTTCGCCCTCCTGGAGGGTCGAGGAAAGCCTCTGCCACCTCGGGAGGCCAAAAAACGGGCCTTCTGGAAATACTGAAAATGTCCATTTCCAGCCTCTGGAGCCACGGGGGGAGGCTGTTTTCATCCTGGAAGCTCGAGAGGAGCCTCTGCAGCCTTGGGAGGCTGAAAAGGGGCCCATTTCAGCACTTCTGAGAGGGCGAAAACTGTTTTGCCATCATGGCTTCTAATATTTTTATCATCTTTGCTTTCTATGGATTGTTGCTGTTTGCATTGGCTGTGTCATAGCGTACGCCTTATCCAGAAGGAAATGGAAGAACCCTCTGTAAAATGGTTCCCCAATTTCCAATCCCAGTGGCCATCCAGAAGAGAATACAAGCACTGAGTGTATCTCCTCCAACCCATCAAGGGTCTCATTACAAACTTGCAGCCTGAAGGCCCTGCACAAGTCCGCATAATCCTTTAAGGTTCTCTGCAATTGCAGACTGACCATCACCAAGAATGTCATGTTTGAAAACAGAGTGATGATGCTTTAGAATCTTGTCCGTCGTGGTCCCGTCGGAGCCAGAGTCTAAGGAGGATGACAAGACAGCTACTAGGGCCGATGGAGGGAGAACCAGAGGAGCTGCGATGGGAGCCAGTCCTGGGGTCCCGTCGTGGCTGGGAAGGAAGGGTAGAGGGTGCAGGACGGCAGCTGAGGGAGGAGGAGAGAGGGGAGGCAGTGAAGCAATGGAACTCTGGTATTGAGCACAGAACGGAGAAGAAAGCGGGATCAGCGCAGGGCAATCTGACTACTTGGGAGGAGGGCACTCCTTCACCTCTTCGCACTGCACTTGGGGAGTGGGATTTTAAAGAAACACCGTAGGGAGGGGCGTTCGTCTGGAAGAAGCTTCGCTTTTTTCCCCAGTCTCACGTGCTGTTACCGATGTCTGAATACTTTGTTGTGCCCCATTCGCAGTGATACAGTTATACTCTGGGTTGTGCTTCCGTCTCAGTGAACTCTTCCTGTGACGAGGACTCCCTGGAACCAAATTTCTTGAACTGTGCTGTTCCTCTGGACCAATAACAGCCAGGAGAGAGGTGCTAGATGTTGAGGTTTAGATACTGGATCCTGGAACTGCATTGAATGATGTAGCGCTGGGTCTTTGCAGGAGGAAGTTAGTTGGAGCTAAGCCTTTTGTTCTGGCTGTGTTGATTCCGTGCCCAGTCCTCTGTGGTCATCACACG